AGGTCCTAATTTGTCCTTGCATCAGAAAAGGCAGGGAAGGAGCTACCTGAACAACTAAAGCAGTGATGCTCGCTCACCCATTCATTTATAAATGGTGACAATCAAGGATCATGCACATGACAAAAATCACTTGCAAAAAAAACTAAACCAAACAAAAGGAACAAGTGACCAGGGAGGGAAAAAGAGATAATCCAGTAAACAGAAAAGAATTTAAAAAAAAGAAAATCCTAAGTATTATCCTCAGACAGAATAAAGAAAATAATGCATCCTTAAAACAGAAACAGAGTGAATGAAAGAGAAATACCTGTACAAAAAGATTTCTTGGAATTAAAAGTATGACTTCAGCCTTTACAATGTCACTACTGAGCTACAGAAGAGTCAAAATAATTTCTGAGAATGGGAAAAAAAATTATGAGACAGAAGTGTTCAACATCTCCACCAGAGAACAAAGAAAACAAAGCACAGAAAGTATGGAATAAAGTAAGTTTCCCAGAGCTAAATAAAGATTAAGGCTTTAAATAAAAAGAAACTATTGGCAACAGTAAGAATGCATAATGGAAATATCCATTCCTAGGCTCACCACCATGCAATTTCAGAAAATCGGGATAAAAGAAAATTCCAGAGCTTATACAGAGGAAAGGCAAAAGCAATTACCAAAAGAAAGTAACTGTGGGGTGCCTGGGTGGCTCAGTTGTTAAGCGTCTGCCTTCAGCTCAGGTCATGATCCCAGGGTCCTGGGATCAAGCCCCACATTGGGCTCCCTGCTCAACAGAGAGCTTGCTTCTCCCTCTCCCACTCCCCCTGCTTGTGTTCCTGCTCCCACTATCTCTCTCTCTCTGTCAAATAAATACATAAAATCTTAAAAAAAAAAAAAACTGTGACTGGCATCAGACAGAGATTACAACACTGGATGCTACAAGACAATGAAGCAATATGATAATTCCCAAGTTCTGAGGAAAAAATGCTGAACCAGTATTCTATACCTAACCCAACTATCAATCAATCATGAGACAAAACAGTTACTTTCAGACACACAGGACTCAGAGTTTACATCCTGCCAATTTTTCTAAGTTACTTAAGATGCTCTCCAACAAAATGAGGGAAGACACCAAGGAAAGGAAAATATGTGATCTAGGGGGAAACTGGGTCTAAATCGGGTTGATTCCTAGGATGTCAGCTGCACAGCATGTCTTAAGTGCAGAAAGGCTCAGGGGAAAAAAGAATAGTTATGTAAAAGATATTACAATTACATATCTTTAAAAAGTCTTCTTTATGTCCATCGACAGATGAATGGATAAAGAAGATGTGGTGTATATATATACAATGGAATATTATGCAGCCATCAAAAGGAATGAGATCTTGCCATTTGCAACGACGTGGATGGAACTGGAGGGTATTATGTTG